CCACGTCACCCACGCCCCACATGGGCCCCATGATCTAAATGCCACCGTCCCACATGGGCCCCATGATCTAAATGCCACCATCCCACATGGGCCCCATGATCTAAATGCCACCATCCCACATGGGCCCCATGATCTAAATGCCACCGTCCCACATGGGCCCCATGATCTAAATTCTACCGTCCCACATGGGCCCCATGATCTAAATGCCACCGTCTCACATGGGCCCCATGATCTAAATGCCACCGTCTCACATGGGCCCCATGATCTAAATGCCACCGTCTCACATGGGCCCCATGATCTAAATGCCACGGTCCCATTATCCGGGTGGACGGTTGTCGTAGATGACACAGTAAGGTTAGTGGAAAATAACTCGCCAGTAAGGGAAGCTATAACCGGCAGTGGTATCAAGCAGGGCCCGTAACTCCACCGCGAGGTGACGATCCCGTGCAGTCTCGTTACAGAACAGGATCTCGCGAGGTGTGATGTCCCCCATATTCGCGGATGTCAGCGACCAGTATCGGGGTGCATTCCCCACTTCCCCCATCTTGCAAATGAGGCTCTTGGGTTTTGGTTGTTGTTGTTTTTGTGTGTGTGTGTGTGTGTGCTGCATGCGGCCTTGGCTCCCCGCAAAGCACCTGAGCGGTGACAAAGCCGTGACGTGGTGGGCGAGAGGACCCGATACGTTGTCAGCCTGCGAGACTTGGCCGTGGACGGTCGCTAATTTGTTGTCATCCATTATGTCACGGTCGTTTTTGGATGAGGCCTGACGTCATCGCCCACCTGCAGTGCTGTAGTACCACTGCAGTACCGGGGCACGCGATCTTTGCTTGGTCGCACGGTGTCTGCTGCCGCTGGAGTACTCTGGAGTACGATCTGAACGACCCACATTCTTGACGTGGCACTTAGACTTAGATGTAATCAGCTCACCTGAAATTGAACACGGCAGGAACACGCCACTAAATTATCACCTAAACGCGGAGTTGTAATTCCGGAATGGGGTGCCAGGAGTCACGCGGTATGTTATTGGGATCAGATTTGAATACAAACAAACGAAAATGATGGTGATTATTTAATAGTTATAGCTCGCCAAACATTGGTGACCGCAATGCGTGAACTTCCCATCTAGTCAAGTTACTTGACAAACAAAACATGAACTCAAGTAGCGCACATTTAAGAATCCCAATTTTTTTGCTACACCCCTTCCCCCGTGATACGTCACTGCACACTTTTGATTTGACTCCGATGAACTAAATTAATCTTCTCATGTCCCCCACCACTTTTAAACCGACTATATTTTTAGTGCATCATATTTAAATTGAGACGATTTCATTTTCCGAAAAGAAAAGAAAATATTACGCACCAAACGCAGTTGAGTTATATTAAAAAAAAAAAAAATTAAAAGAATCCTATAACGTAGTTATCGGGTATTATATTTTGGGCGCTATCCGGAAATGGAAGCTGTCACACCACAAACAAAATATATATTTATGTATATAAGATATGTTAATTTCTTTTGGGAAGGAGGGGTGTTATATAATGACAGCAGGTATATGAGATGATTCAAGAACTATCGATTTGTTGTTGTTGTCATATATTCACTTACAGTGTGATATCTAACACAAGGACACTGGTCCTTCAATTGCCTAAAATAATGAGGGGGGGGGGGAATATGCTGTCATTTTATCTCGACTTTTATAAGTAAAAGTTAGCACGGTCGGCATTTTAAATACGTCTTTTTGATTCTGTGGCGTAAAGAAATGGGTCAGACTTAGTTCTTATGGACCGTTTACATATTATGTAACGCTGGGGGGGGGGGG